GCCCCCCCTCTCCCCCCCCCTCCCCTCTCCTCCCCTCCCCCTCTCTCTCGAACTATAGAAATGATCCCCCTCTCTCTAAAGTCAATAAGCATGTCCTCAGGTGAAGATTTTTTTTTTTAAAGTGTCAGTCTGAAAGATAATCCCAGGTCCCAGTCTTTTAGTCCCGTTGCAACGAATGAGCCTTGTGGCAAGCTGGCATGGCCATGGCACACTCAGCCCCAGGGGCCTTATGTGCCACGCCAGCTCAGCCAGGTTCAGTGAGCCTGAGAGGGGGCGGTGAAGGATGGAGAAAAGACGGACAAGAGAATAAAAGCTGGGTCTGGGTGGGACGCTGTTCCCAGATGGAGAGACAGCTTGTGTCAGTCTGCCCTAACTGGTGTGACTTAGTTGTACCAAAAGGTTGTGGGTTGGGTTGTTCCATTCCTGGTCAGGTCACAGACTGGGTTGCTGGTTTGATCCCCAGTGGGGAACCCTCGGGAGGTGTAACCCATCTCAATGTTTCTCTCACATCTATGTTTCTCTCTCCTCTCCTCTCCCCACCCATCCCCTCTCCTCCCCTCCCCCTCTCTCTCGAACTATAGAAATGATCCCCCTCTCTCTAAAGTCAATAAGCATGTCCTCAGGTGAAGATTTTTTTTTTTAAAGTGTCAGTAGACAGCGCCAAGGACTACAAGCCGTGTCTTTATTTTATAGCAGATTCCATGAGGCAACGTAAGGGCGTGGTCAAGATGTTTACAACATTCTCATGAGTTTCGATCCTACTCAACTACATGCACCTGAACTCTATCAAGCCCACATCTCTCAGGCACGTGGGGCCACGTGTTCAGACCATAGGTTCAAGCTTATAACTACAGTGGGGCCTCGACTTACCAGTTTAATTCCTTCTGAGACCGAGCTCGTTAAGGAGCTCGTTAACTCAAATTACTCTATCAACTCAATGCAAAAAAATCGGCCGAGACAGCTGGTATCAAAAATCTCGTTAGTCGGGACACTCTTAAGTCAAGACCCCACTGAATAGCAGCTGTTGGCTATAATTGTGCTGGGAGGGCTCTGCCCTCCACGCTGGGACTTGCACGTGGCAATGAGAGGACTGTGCCCTCTCATTAGTCCGAGGCTTGAACCTGTCCAAACACTAGCCACTCTCCACAAAGCCTCATTTACTCATTTATTGGGTAGTTATTGAGCATTAACTAATTAAAGATTCTGTTGGGATATGGCAAACATCTGTCAAAGAACTGGTATCATAATATATATATCCCAATTCTAAAATAGGGTAAAAAAATGATTCTGCACAAAAGAAGTTATTCAAATGAGCAGTAAGCCTATGAAAAGATGCTCAATATCACTACTTGCCAGGAGAATACAAATGAAAACCTGGAAGTACTACTACACCCATCTAATGATTAAAATAGAAAAG